CTAGGATTGACTCACCTGTTTGATCCTCCCACAGCCCCACCCACCAACACCTCCCTCTCAGTGAGTCCAGGTGAGGAGGTCGTGGAAGGTCAACAGGTGACGTTTACCTGTCGCTCAGAGGGAGCTCCGCCCCCCACGCTGGTGTTGAGGAGAGAAGGGGTGGAGCTTAAGAGGAGTGACTCCGCCTCCTCCTCGCTGTCCTTCAGCCTCTCCTCCGCTCAGCTCGGAGACTCCGCCCATTACCAGTGTGAATCCACCAACCAGTACGGATCTGAGCTGGTCAGCGGCTCGCTCACAGTCAGAGGTACTGCAGACTTTTATTTTGGTAACTTGTCAGTTTATAGTGGACTTTTCAAAATAAAGGTCATGAGACACTTAGAATAATCCAGATTCTTCCTCCTGGTGTCAGCTCACCCTCTGCAGGTGGAGCTGGGGGGTCCGCTCCCTGCAGCAGAGCGGGGTTCAGGTCTGGTCATCTCCTGCAGAGCCTCTGGGTGTCTCGACCCCCCCACCCTCACCTGGAGGAGGACAGGTGAGGAGGGCGCAGTCCTCCAGAGGACGCAGCAGCAGGACTCGCTGTCCCTGCTCCACCTGCAGGACCTGGACCTTCAGGACCGAGGAGGATACACCTGTGAGGCCCTGTGTGACTCTGTGATCAGGACCGCAGACACCTGGGTCCAGGTCTACTGTGAGTCTGACACACCTTCATATTTACAGGCTCTGAGTTTCTCAGGGTCTTTGACTGACATCAGGGATTTGACCTTTGAACTCTGAACGGATAAATACTGGACAAAAAACTGTTCCCCCACTGGAGAATCATTGGGGGGGGGGGGGGGGGGGGTCAGCATGGTGGCGCACTCAGGGATGCTGTGTTTGGACAGAGGGGGTCAAAGGTCACAGAACACAACCAAATACACACACAGATCTGTTTTTAATCTGAGTTCTGACACACAGGATGTGACACAACAGGGGAGAAGAAACCAAAATATGTCCTCCTCACACACACACACACACACACACACACACACACACACACACACACACACACACACACACACAAATACCTCCCCCCCCCCCCCCCGCTGTACACTCACTTCAGCTCAGTCAGATCCTCCCCCACAGAGATACAGTGTCTCATAACACATCAAACATCTCTCTTCTTCTCCTGTTAAATATCTGACTCTTCTTCTCCTGTTAAATATCTGACTCTTCTTCTCCTGTTAAATATCTGACTATTCTACTGATAAATATCTGACTCTTCTACTGATAAATATCTGACTCTTCTACTGTAAATATCTGACTCTTCTACTGATAAATATCTGACTCTTCTACTGATAAATATCTGACTCTTCTCCTGTTAAATATCTGACTCTTCTACTGATAAATATCTGACTCTTCTCCTGTTAAATATCTGACTCTTCTACTGATAAATATCTGACTCTTCTACTGATAAATATCTGACTCTTCTACTGATAAATATCTGACTCTTCTCCTGTTAAATATCTGACTCTTCTACTGATAAATATCTGACTCTTCTTCGACTGATATATATCTGACTCTTCTACTGTTAAATATCTGACTCTTCTACTGATAAATATCTGACTTTTCTACTGTGAAATATCTGACTCCTCTACTGATAAATATCTGACTCTTCTTCTACTGTTAAATATCTGACTCTTCTTCTACTGATAAATATCTGACTCTTCTCTGTTAAATATCTGACTCTTCTTCTCCTGATAAATATCTGACTCTTCTGCTGATAAATATCTGACTCTTCTTCTAATAAATATCTAACTCTTCTTCTACTGATAAATATCTGACTCTTCTACTGATAAATATCTGACTCTTCTAATAAATATCCGACTCTTCTTCTACTGTTAAATATCTGACTCTTCTTGTCCTGATAAATATCTGACTCTTCTACTGTGAAATATCTGACTCTTCTTCTCCTCTTAAATATCTGACTCTTCTTCTCCTGATAAATATCTGACTCTTCTACTGATAAATATCTGACTCTTCTTTTACTGTTAAATATCTGACTCTCTTCCACTGATAAATATCTGACTCTTCTACTGATAAATATCTGACTCTTCTTGTCCTGATAAATATCTGACTCTTCTACTGTTAAATATCTGACTCTTCTTCTACTGTTAAATATCTGACTCTTCTTCTCCTGTTAAATATCTGACTCTTCTTCTCCTGATAAATATCTGACTCTTCTACTGATAAATATCTGACTCTTCTTCTACTGTTAAATATCTGACTCTTCTTCTACTGATAAATATCTGACTCTTCTTCTACTGATAAATATCTGACTCTTCTACTGATAAATATCTGACTCTTCTACTGATAAATATCTGACTTTTCTACTGTTAAATATCTGACTCGTTCTACTGTTAAATATCTGACTCTTCTTCTACTAAAAATATCTGACTTTTCTACTGATAAATATCTGACTCTTCTTCTACTGTTAAATATCTGATTCTTCTACTGTAAATATCTGACTCTTCTTCTACTGATAAATATCTGACTCTTCTTCGACTGATATATATCTGACTCTTCTACTGTTAAATATCTGACTCTTCCACTGATAAATATCTGACTTTTCTACTGTGAAATATCTGACTCCTCTACTGATAAATATCTGACTCCTCTACTGATAAATATCTGACTCTTCTTCTACTGTTAAATATCTGACTCTTCTTCTACTGATAAATATCTGACTCTTCTAATAAATATCCGACTCTTCTTCTACTGTTAAATATCTGATTCCTCTACTGATAAATATCTGACTCTTCTTTTACTGTTAAATATCTGACTTGTCTTCCACTGATAAATATCTGACTCTTCTCCTGTTAAATATCTGACTCTTCTTCTCCTGATAAATATCTGACTCTTCTACTGATAAATATCTGACTCTTCTACTGATAAATATCTGACTCTTCTAATAAATATCCGACTCTTCTTCTACTGTTGAATATCTGACTCTTCTTCTCTGTTAAATATCTGACTCTTCTTCTCCTGATAAATATCTGACTCTTCTACTGATAAATATCTGACTCTTCTTCTACTGTTAAATATCTGACTCTTCTTCTCCTGATAAATATCTGACTCTTCTACTGATAAATATCTGACTCTTCTTCTACTGTTAAATATCTGACTCTTCTTCTACTGATAAATATCTGACTCTTCTAATAAATATCCGACTCTTCTTCTACTGTTAAATATCTGATTCCTCTACTGATAAATATCTGACTCTTCTTTTACTGTTAAATATCTGACTTGTCTTCCACTGATAAATATCTGACTCTTCTCCTGTTAAATATCTGACTCTTCTTCTCCTGATAAATATCTGACTCTTCTACTGATAAATATCTGACTCTTCTTCTACTGTTAAATATCTGACTCTTCTTCTACTGATAAATATCTGACTCTTCTAATAAATATCTGACTCTTCTTCTACTGTTAAATATCTGACCTCTACTGATAAATATCTGACTCTTCTACTGATAAATATCTGACTCTTCTACTGATAAATATCTGACTCTTCTCCTGTTAAATATCTGACTCTTCTTCTCCTGTTAAATATCTGACTCTTCTCCTGTTAAATATCTGACTCTTCTACTGATAAATATCTGACTCTTCTACTGATAAATATCTGACTCTTCTACTGATAAATATCTGACTCTTCTCCTGTAAAATATCTGACTCTTCTACTGATAAATATCTGACTCTTCTCCTGTTAAATATCTGACTCTTCTACTGATAAATATCTGACTCTTCTACTGATAAATATCTGACTCTTCTACTGATAAATATCTGACTCTTCTTCGACTGATATATATCTGACTCTTCTACTGTTAAATATCTGACTCTTCTACTGATAAATATCTGACTTTTCTACTGTGAAATATCTGACTCCTCTACTGATAAATATCTGACTCTTCTTCTACTGTTAAATATCTGACTCTTCTTCTACTGATAAATATCTGACTCTTCTCCTGTTAAATATCTGACTCTTCTTCTCCTGATGAATATCTGACTCTTCTGCTGATAAATATCTGACTTTTCTACTGTGAAATATCTGACTCCTCTACTGATAAATATCTGACTCTTCTTCTACTGTTAAATATCTGACTCTTCTTCTACTGATAAATATCTGACTCTTCTCCTGTTAAATATCTGACTCTTCTGCTGATGAATATCTGACTCTTCTGCTGATAAATATCTGACTTTTCTACTGTGAAATATCTGACTCTTCTACTGATAAATATCTGACTCTTCTTCTACTGTTAAATATCTGACTCTTCTGTCCTGATAAATATCTGACTCTTCTACTGTGAAATATCTGACTCTTCTTCTCCTGTTAAATATCTGACTCTTCTTCTCCTGATAAATATCTGACTCTTCTACTGATAAATATCTGACTCTTCTTTTACTGTTAAATATCTGACTCGTCTTCCACTGATAAATATCTGACTCTTCTACTGATAAATATCTGACTCTTCTTGTCTGATAAAATATCTGACTTCTTCTACTGTTAAATATCTGACTCTTCTTCTACTGTTAAATATCTGACTCTTCTTCTCCTGTTAAATATCTGACTCTTCTTCTCCTGATAAATATCTGACTCTTCTACTGTTAAATATCTGACTCTTCTTCTACTGTTAAATATCTGACTCTTCTTCTACTGATAAATATCTGACTCTTCTACTGATAAATATCTGACTCTTCTTCTACTGATAAATATCTGACTCTTCTACTGATAAATATCTGACTTCTTCTACTGTTAAATATCTGACTCGTTCTACTGTTAAATATCTGACTCTTCTCTACTGAAAATATCTGACTTTTTCTACTGATAATATCTGACTCTTCTTCTACTGTTAAATATCTGACTCTTCTACTGTAATATCTGACTCTTCTTCTACTGATAAATATCTGACTCTTCTTCGACTGATAAATATCTGACTCTTCTACTGTTAAATATCTGACTCTTC